CGGTTGCCGAGGTTGCCGGCGTTGTAGGACCTCTCCACGCATTATGTGCTCTCTAAGCGGCCCCGCCCCCAGCAACCGTGGCCGGCAACCGTCGCCGGCAACCTATGGCCGTTCACTAAAGCAAGATTATTTAACTTACTTCGCCTCAAGGGTCTTGAAAGGATTAACTCCTGCTAAAACAGCGACAGCCAAGAAACAGAAATCTGCTGCATTATTGTAATCACGCTTCGCCAGAACTTTCCCGAGGTCGTACACCTTAAACAGCAATGAACAATATGGATATGGTAAAGCACTAGAATAAGTAACACATACAGATTCCATGGCTTCCTGAGAAGAAAGATTCGCAAGAACGATAGCAGCATGCGTACGCCAAGACCCAGAATCGTCACCAGTGGGGTTCATCTGTAACAAAATGCATTAAGAGAAGCTTCAAAAAGACCACCTGATTGCAAACAACTCACAAGAATAGGGACGTGTTTCTTAGTGGCTACAGACACAAGTGTGACCACAGGATTGCATTGTGGCCTAGTAGCTAAGAATCTTTCTTCAATTTCTACCAGTTTCGCTGGATCATGCGCCAACAAACGTCTTGCCACAACCATCGCATCAGCATAAAGTCCATCCCGAATCGCACTTTCGATCGCTTCCTAAGCAGGTCGATCTTTAAGTCAATGTCTTCAGACACTTACAAACTTACTTGAACATGACCTCCAAGGAGTAAATCCGTGAAGCGATCGTATCCTCGTGTATCAGAAGATCCATTACGCGTAGCAACAGCTGTAGATGCACCATCCGTAGGAGTATTATTCTTGTCACGATGTGAATGGTGCTGCAGTGGGACGGCCCTAGGTGGCACTGACCCAATCTCCACCAAAAGCCGTGCTATGTCAGGTCCGGTGACGCGCTAAAAAAGAAAAAATTAAACAAAGAGATCTCTAGTACGATATGATATATTGGGGACATACCCCCTGTTGCTGAACGATCATGCCAAGCAATTGCCATATAAGCAAACAGTCAATGACATCATTGTCACGAGGATTCTCCGAAGCTACTTCACAGCTTTTGATACGCTTAATTTGACGCTCTATGTAGAGTCGCACCGAATGTGTGGGTGTCTGGCCGATGAGGAGAGGCCCTGACACAAAATTATTCGCGAGTGTCTGCGAAGATGAAAAAGAGCAAACCTTTGAATGTCTGCGCAGCATCGATAAGACGCGTGGTGTGAGAATCAGAAAGAGCTGTCTTGACGTCGTCTATCTGTACAACAGATACGGACAGATCCGGATGAACTGTGACCATCTTTCCTCCGTATCCGAATGTGACGAATGCATGTGGCACACGATGTTTCAGCGGGGCTTCAAAAAGCAAATTATAGAAATTTAATAAAAAATAAATTGAGATACCTCGTTGACTTGATTCAATGCTCAGGATGTCCGAAGTGCGATCATCATGATTTTCATCCATACTAGCCCGCTCGCTCATGCTGAAAAACAGTAGCCAGTACAAAGACAACACTGATCAACTCCATATCCCCAAGCAAAAGGAATAACCCAGAATAACACACGTGGAAAACTATCATTCAAATACAGTGGATAAATGATGGCTAACATAAGGTTAATTTGAGGAAGGAGATGATCTACACCCTGATGCTGATAATTTTGAATGAAGACCCCTTTACATGTTCTTTTTCGTAGTCACAAGTTTGTCAACAAGAAACACGAGTCTATCAAAATTGGCGTAAACCATGTCCATCCTAAGCATGAGTCCGATCCCACGAAACTCACAAAGTTGGAGCAGAGTTAGTTCTCAAAAGCGGATATCGACGTGGTATCTCGCCAAGAGGCACAAAATCTTGTGCTTTGCTTAATAATCGAACATAAACCGACATGATAACGACCACAAAGACTTGTAAACAAAACACTTCAGTAAATAGGCTGCCTGAGATCGCATGCACAAAAAATCTATCAATGAAAACAGCAGTAATCAATTCGTAAGTGATTTTGGAAGAAAGCAAACATCAAGGAAAACTTACCCATCTACGCTTTCCCGTTCATCACTAAAAAGCTGACGCTGACTAGCTTCATAGGCCTTCTGCGACTCCGCCAACTTTTTCGTAAGATACTCTTCTTGCATCGATTTGCATATCTATAAAACACCGCTCGTAAGAACATAAGAGAAAGTATAAAGTAGAAAGTATAAATACCTTCCACAGTGCAATATTGTCAGCATCACCATCACAGGTATACTTGAA